CAATCCAGTGTGTCAGCTGATCCCTACAGACGAGAGCATATTGATATCCATTAGCCTTGGGCAGTTGGATATAATCCAATTGTATAGCTTCAAATGGTCGCTGCGCCCATGGTCTGCCTCCCTCATAGATTGCCTTTCTAGATGTGCTGTTGTTGGCTTGGCATGTCTGGCAACTGCTCTGGTTGCCTCTGTGTATATACCTGGTGCATGCCATACTCTCCTAGCAGCATCCACTATAGCCTGGGTCCCACAGTGACCTTTTGCATGTAGCCTCTGACAGATTAATCGTATAAGGCGTCGCGGGGCAATGGGTCTGCCGTCCGGGACTCTCCAAAACCCGTCTGAAAACGTTGCCCCTAATTTATCCTCCCACATCTGTGTTTCCCCCTGTTCCAAGAAGTCCCTATACTGAATCTCAGGATCAACTCTCATAGCTGGGACAGTGATGTTGCGAGGAAAAGGTTCTGTAGCTACCCATTTGGCAGTTGCATCAGCATAATGGTTTCCTTTTGTGACCGCGGAGTCATCCGTTTGGTGGGCCTTACAATGGATGACTGCGATGGCTCTTGGTAACTGGATGGCTAGTAATAATTGGGATACTTGGGTGGCATTCGCGATTCGTTTCCCTGCTGATGTAAGGAATCCCCTCTGTTTCCATAAGGCTCCGGTAGCGTGGCAGACTCCAAATGCGTATTTGGAGTCTGTATATATGTTAACAGATAGGCCCCTAGCTGCTTCACAAGCTTTTGTTAGAGCTATGAGTTCAGCAGCCTGGGCGCTAAGGGAAGGGGAGAGTGGTTCTGCCCAAATGATCTCATAGAGGGATACTACTGCAGCCCCAGCGGCTCTGTTCCCTTCATGGATAAAAGAGGAGCCATCAGTAAAAACTTCCAAATCCGGGTTTTGCAAAGGGGTGTCTGTTAGGTCCGGGCGGGGTAGTTCTGCGTCTTGTATTAAGTGGAGGCAGTCATGCAATGGATCATCTGTTTGATCCGTGGGTAGCAAGGTAGCGGGATTTAAGGTGCTACATCTCTCAAATGTTATGTGGTCGGAAGTAAACAATTCAGCCTCGTATTGCGCTAAACGTTGTTGCGTGAAGGCTTGGGTCTGGGATTTGAGGAGAATGGCGAAAACCTCATGAGGTACCTTTAACGTTAGAGGTCGCCCCAGAACTAGGCCCCTAGTTCTCTTTACTATTTCAACAGTTGCTGCTACTGCTCGTAAGCATGGCAGTGTCCCTTGGGCCACTGGATCTAGTTTAACAGAATAATATGCTATTGGTCTATGTCCTGGACCGAAACGCTGGGTCAGGACCCCAGACGCGATGCCTAATTTTTCGTGGATGAATAAGGTGAAAGGCTTATTGTAATCAGGAAGACCTAGCGTGGGAGCTGAAGCCAGTGTCTTTTTAATTGTTAAGAAGTTCTGTTCTAGGGATTTTGTCCATGTTACGGGGTCTGGCATGTCCTGTCTTGTTAGTTGTATTAAGGGGTTCGCCAGTTCCCCAAAAGATGGGATCCAGGGGCGGCAGAATCCCAGGACTCCCAAAAGCGCCCTGACCTGCCTTTTAGTTCGAGGGCTCTTCATTGACAGGATGGTTTCTACCCGGCTTGGAGCCAATTTCCTTACTCCGGGACCAATAATGTATCCTAAGTATGTTACCTCCTGTTTCAGATATTGTAGTTTTGAGGGGGAGGCTTTGTGTCCCTTCTCTGCTAGTGATTTTAAGAGATGAAAAGTGTCAGTCCTGCATGACTGTTCGCTCTTTGAGGCCAGTAAGAGATCGTCCACGTATTGGATTAAGGTGGATCCTTCTGGCAGAGTGACGGAGGATAAGTCTCCCTTTAGGATCTGGGAAAATAGAGTGGGAGATTCTGTGTAGCCCTGAGGCAGGTGGGTCCAGGTATACTGCTGGTCTTCCCAAGTGAAGGCAAAAAGGTATTGGGAAGCGTGATCCACGGGAATACTAAAAAAAGCGGAACACAAGTCTATGACAGTAAAATGTGTAGCCGAAGCCGGCACTTCCGTAATTATTGTGGCGGGATTCGGTACGATTGGCGCTCGGGGTATCACGTGATTGTTAATGAGGCGAAGATCGTGAACAAAACGGTAAACTGGGTTGCCATCCTTGTCTATCTTGGGTTTCTTTACCGGGAATATCGGGGTATTACACGGAGAAGTGCACTTGCGCAGAACTCCTTGTTCCAAGTAGGCTTTTATTAATTTGCGTATGGGTTCAATGGCTTCAGTGGGGATTTTATACTGTGGCATACAGGGGGGTGGTCCCGGCTTCACTCGAATCGTGACTGGTGTGGCTCCTTTAAGGAGTCCTACTTCCGTAGCATCCCATCCCCATAAAGAGGATGGTAGGGTGGCCAAATCCGTGTGTAATGTTGTGTACTGGGTGGCTAGTAGGAAAGTTTTTAGCCCTTTAGGAATATCTAGGGCTAGTCCCTCTTTTCCACACCTGATGGTTGCTCCTAGTTTACATAGGAGGTCTCTTCCGAGGAGAGAGACTGGAGATTGAGGACATATGGTGAATGAGTGTTTCAATGAGAAAGGACCTATTTCTACGGTTACATCGTTTGTAAATTGTACCGGAATCACTTTTCCTCCTACTCCCATTATGTTATCCTGAGCTCCAGGTTTTATTGAGTCCCTGTGTGGTGGTTTTACAATCAAAGAAGCGGTAGCTCCGGTATCCACCAGGCAGTCATATTCTCTCCCCCCTATGAGGAGGGAAATCATGGGTTCTCCTTCCGGACCGTTCCTTAAGGGAATGGCTAGTCCTTGGAAGGTGGCGGCGAACTCTCCCTCATTTGTCCCTAGTCACAAAAGCCTTGAGTCTCTGTTCTCTTCCCTTTCCCAGCGAGTGTTGTTTGGATTGGGTTGTTCATTGCGATAGAATGGATTGTTTCGCGGCATGGGTGCGGTTGGTGTTTCCCTGTAGCAGTTGTTTCCTTGCACATTTTGATTAAAAGCACCATCTCTTTGTCTAAAATCCCTGGGTGGTCCTGGGTTTCGGTAGCGGGCAGAGGGTTGGGTACAGTTCCGGATTGAATGTCCTAATTCCCCACATCTAAAACAGTGGTGGCATCTATATGGTGGGCTCCCTTCCCTTTCACACCTCGTGCATCGCGGTCCATTATCGGAAAACCGTTTTCTGGTTTGCCCGTAGTTATTGTGTATGGCCGCGAATATTTGCAGTTCCTCTGCCCTTTCCGTTTTCCTCCTTCTCTCTTTCTCTATTTCCTTAAGTTTGTCTCTTTGGTCATAAACGAAATTCGCAATCCTGCGCAATTCCGAGATGTCTAATGTGGACCAGTTAGAAACTATTTTGTGGAAATGTTCTTTAATATCTCGGGCGGATTGGTCAACAAAGGCCGAGGCTAAAATCCTCTGGTCCTTCTGGCAGTTCACATCCAGGTGGGCATAAGTTGTGGCTGCCTCTATAAGCCTGACCCAGAAGGCGTCGGGATTCTCTTGGTCCCTCTGGGTAACTCGCTGGAATTCTGACCAATTTAAGGGCTTTTTCCCGATTTCTTCCAAGGCTTCCATTAAGTTTTGCTTTGCCCTGGTGTAGGTGTCCCAATGATTAGTATCGTTATAGTCCCAGTCTGGGCGTTCAATGGGCCAGGCGACCTTGGGCCGGGCAGCCTGGCCTGGGACCCTTATGATTGGTCTTTTATCAATCTGGTCCGTTTTCTCAAAAAGGCTTAGTAATTCATCTTTGGTCAGAAAAACTTGCAGTAGTTGATTCATGTCCCCCCATGACGGATTGTGACTATCTATGATTGCTTTAAGGGTCCTGATTACAGTTTGGGGGTCTGCCCTGAAGGTTGGGGCTTCTTTCTTCCAAATTACTAAGTCTGAGGCTGAGAAGGGTGTGTGTGTTAAAATGTATTCAGGTTGGCCCCTCTGTCTCCCTGCTATGGGTCTACTCATTAAGGGGGCCATTATTTTCACCTCTCTCTCGTTCTCTATCTTAGGTGGGTTGTCTTCTGTCAAGGGTTCCTTACTTTTAGCTACTTCAGCCCAGCAATACCAGTAGGGTATATGGCTGGGCTTTATTCTTGGTCTAAGTGCTCTCAGGGTTTTTACATCGAAAGTACCGCTATGGGGCCAAATTTGTTTCCCGGTCTCGTCTCTAAGCAAAGCCCATTTCTGACACAATTTTCCTAACTTCTTTCTATCCATGCCCCTCAATACGGGCACCCGCCTGGCGTCCCAGGCCGCGAGCACTTCTTCCACAGGGGTCCCCGCCACCCGCGAACTATCGCTACCCATGACCCTTTCCTTTTCTCCGGAAGGATCACTTCGACTTAGCCGGGTGGCACGCCGTCAGTTTTCAGAGAAAAAGCTCTGGGAAGGACTTCGATTCCCTTACGAAGTATGGGCCCCTTCCTCTTAGGGAATCGCCGTAGTTTTTCGGATCCAAAAAGGGGATCCGGGAGGACCTGCTGACCCCAGCAGGTGGTACTGGCACCTCCTCTCACACACACACGCTCGCCACGTGTCTGGGCTGGACAAAACCGGGTTTCCCTTTCACAGTTTATTAAACCCCCCCCCTCTTTCACACACTTAACTTTCGCTCGGCTTTTCTTTCCCTTAGGCAGAAAGTCCTACGTTCGGCTTTCCCCCCTTGCTTTCTCTATTCTACCGGTCACGGCTCGGTGGAGCTAGCAGTAGGTAGAGGTGCGGCTAGAGATTGCTCGAAGAGGTAGGATCAGGCTGCCGTTCAGGTGAAATCCCACATACACACACTCACTCATACACTTCCGTACTCCCCCTTATCTAGGGATTTTATTATAATTTAAAGCGGTACTCACCTGTTTTCCAGCAGCTCGTTGAGGCTAAGCTCAAAAATCTCCCTTTACTACCTTCTTCCTCCCGGGCAGGGTCCGTAGATTTTCCCTGGACAAAAGTGGTCCGTGCCGGCTGGGTTCAATCTCCAGGCCCCGTCCGGTCGGCTGGGTTCATTGGGAGTCCCTTCGTGGTCGCCAATTGTTAGAATCTCCGCAGAGGTTTCCCCGAAAGGTTGAATTTCCCGGGTGAGAAATCGTCCCAGGCACGATGAATCAATTGATGAGAGAAGCGAGCTGCGTGAAAACAGGATTCTTTTTATTATGTTTCAGGAAGACGGATCCGGCAAGCGCACGAACCAGCGTTCCTGGGTGAGCTGACATCGTTACAAGGTAAGCATGCATTCTTATACTTTTTGATACAAAGGAAGTTCTTTGTTTCTTTTGTTACTTTTGTGGGTCTTCCCTTTGTGTGTGTGTTCTTGGATTGCCCTGTTTTCTTATTCTAGTTTTTCCCTACTTGAAACTGGGTGGTGTCTGGGCTATCTGGTCTCATGTTCTTTTGTTTCTTTCTGTTCTTATTATTTGCTCCTTGCCTTAAACTGATCACGTTGTTATCAAGTAAGCCCTTACCCCCGGCTTGACTCTTATCAGATTGCTTGGGCTATTGATTAAATCTTTTCCTTTTGCTAATCCTCTGCCATTCCTTTTGTTTTGCTCTCCTGGTTTCTGCTGTCTTGATAGTTCCTTTTCTGGCATGTCCTGAGTCTTTTGTGTGTGTCATTTCCCTATGTCCTCTTTTGTTCCTAAATGGCCCTGATGTTCATGTGTTCTATTTTGGGAAGGTCATTTCCCTATGCCTGTGGCCTTTTGCCTTTCTAAGTTTGTTTGTACCTTACTGATCCTGGCACTGTCTTGGTGGTGTTCCCTTCCTACAAACCAAAAGGTAAGCTCAACAATTTTAGCCTCAGAATGCTTTTGGAAGTGGGGTGGTGGTGAAAGGAGGCCAAAAAACAGGCAAAAATGGCCTGTTTCTGGCCAAAAAACAAAACAAACTGTTTTTGCCTGGTTTTAGCCTGCAGAATGCTTCTGGAGGTGGAGGGGGGGGTTTAAAGGAGGCCAAAAACCAGGCATAAATGGCCCGTTTTGGGCCAAAAAATTAGCCGTTTTTTGGTCTCCTTTCACCCCCCCCCCACCTCCAGAAGCATTCTGCAGGCCAAAAAACCAGGCAAAAACAGCTTGTTTTTGGGTCAAAAAGGGCTGTTTTTGCCTGGTTTTTTTTGGCCTCCTTTCACTCCCCCACCTCCAGAAGCATTCTGCAGGCCAAAACCAGGCAAAAATGGCTCATTTTTTCGCCAAAACGGACTGTTTTTGCCTGTTTTTTGGCCTCCTTTCACCACCACCCCACCTCCAGAAGCATTCTGCAGGCCAAAACCAGGCAAAAGGGCTCATTTTTGGGGGGGGTGAAAGGAGGCCAAAATACATTCTATTACATTATCCTCTCTCTCTGTATGTGTGTGTGTGTGTGTGTGTGTCTGTCTGTCTGTCTATCTGTCTATCTGTCTATCTGTCTATCTATCTATCTATCTATCTATCTATCTATCTATCTATCTATCTATCTATCTGACATATTAATTTTAATTTATGCTCCCCTCTCATGACTACACCTACATTATTTTAGATTAACAAACTAGAATACATAATTATTTACAAATATATTAAACAGTTACAGAATAATTGGATAAAATATATTTCAAGTTAGCTGTTAAAGAAGTTTTGGGTGTTGTGTAAAGTTACTTTGAAAAGGTAGCTATTTAAAATTACTTCATAACTCTCAACTTTCTAGCTTTTGGAATAGCCTTCCTTCTTCCCCCCCTTGCTTCTTTCTTCCTTCAATTTATAATATACAGTTAGATGAATGGTAATGAATGCATTTTTAGAAGACCTGGAGAGATAAATTGGGGGTAGATCATCAGAGAAGCAGGGGTGAAATCTAAAATTTTTTGCTACGGGTTCTGGGGATGTGGCTTAATTAGTGGGCGGGGCTTGGTGGTAAGGTGACTGGAAGGGCATGGCTTGTTGGTCAGGTGGGCGTGGCCAAGTCAATGTCACTTCTTTGCCCTTTTTTAACCTACAAAACACAATACAACACAACTGGCTCACCCACAATATAAAAGCAGCTGTGCTAGACCCAAAATGGTCCCTGCAACAAGCAGGAACCTCACACAGCCACAAAAAGCCCAAAAAACCAACTTTCACACTTCACACACACAAAATTCCACATACAGCTTTGTGAGATTTTGTGTGATTGTGTAGTTAGAGTGAAACACTACAGAAACACACTAAATCTCAGAAAGCTGCACAAATATTATTTTATTTTATCTTTATATAAAAGCAGCTAAATTTAAAACTTCCTAAACTTTAAATTGCTAGGTCTAAAAAAAGAACAACTAAAAAAAACCCCAATTAACTTTTTTTTTATTAAAAAGTTTTACAGAAGGTTTACATATTCTCCCCTTCCCTACCACCCCCACCCTCTCCCCTCCCTTACCCCCACCACCCCTCCCCCCATCCCTTCCTCTTCCCATCCGCCCACCTCCCCCCCTCTTCCCAGAACAAATTACAGGGTATAACATTCAACAAACATAATCCATCCTAATCTAAGTAATTATAACATTCAGCATCTCTTATTCCTTCAATTCCCTAATTACCCTGCTAACTTAATTACCTAAAAACACACCAAATATCTACTTCTTTATTCATAACCTATCTGCAACTTCTTATTCCAGTGTTTGCTTTGGATATAATCTATCCATCTTCTCCAATCCCTTAAGTATCTTTCATTTGAATGTTCCTTCAAGTACGCCGTGATTTTTGCCATCTCTGCTAGGTTTGTTACTTTCATTGTCCATTCTTGGATTGTGGGTAGATCTTGCTTCTTCCAATATTGTGCCACCAACAATCTTGCTGCAGTTATTAAATTCAAAATAAAATTAGTCTCTATAACCATACAATCCGTAACTATACCCAGCAGAAACAACTGTGGTGGAAATTTTAACCTCTTTTTAAGAATGTTTTGTAAAATCCACCAAATTTTTATCCAGAACGCTTTAATCTTTTTACATGTCCACCAAATATGGAAGTATGTAGCATCCTCACATTCACATCTCCAACATTTTGATTGTACATTCGGGTACATACAAGATAGTATTTTTGGATCTAGATGCCACCTATAAAACATTTTATAAAAGTTCTCCCTTAAGTTTTGCACTTGTGTAAATTTCACATTTCTTACCCATATTTTTTCCCATGTTTCCATCATTATTGGTTGTTCAAAATTCTGCGCCCATTTTATCATACAATCTTTAACTAGCTCTGTTTCCGATAGAGATAGACATCTCTATCAATATATTATACAATCTTTTTATATGCATTGAACTTTGGTCTCTAGTTTGTTTTATTAAATTTTCATCGCTTTGTATAATACCAATTTTCTGATCTTTTCTCCATCTGGCTTTAAGTTGTACATACTGAAACCAAGTTTGAATTATTTTCTCCTCTTTCAACACATTCAAAGGTTTTAATTTTAATATACCTCCCTCCATATTAAGAATATCTGTATATGTAATTACATCTTGTCTGCTTTCTATACTCGTGTTCTCTATTGCGTGCCTGGGTACTGTCCATATAGGTATCTTTTCATTTAATTTATGTTGATATTTCTTCCAGACACGCAGTAAAGCATTACTCAATATATGACTCTTAAATGCTCTATCCACCTTTTTATCATACACTAAGTAAGCATGCCAACCGTAAACCAAATCATGCCCTTCAATGTTCAGAATCCTTCCATTTGTTAAATTAATCCAATCACTAATTGCTGATAAGACAGATGCTTCATAATATAATTTTAAATTGGGCATTTTCAGCCCCCCTCTTTCTCGTATATCCTGCATTATTTTCAATTTTATCCTTGGTTTCTTACCTTGCCATACAAACTTATTAATATCTTTCTGCCATTCTTCCAGGTTGGCATTCTTTTTTAGTATTGGTATCATTTGAAAGAGGAATAAAAACTTAGGTAAAACATTCATTTTTATAACTGCTATTCTACCTAACAAGGACAATTGTAATTTTTTCCATTTATCCATTTCAATTTGTATTTTATGCCATAACAACTCATAATTATATTTATACAATTTCCCATTAGAAGGTGCAATATGAACACCTAGGTATTTAACTTTTTTAACTATTTCACATCCCATTACCCTTTATAGCTCCTCTTTTTGATTTATTGTCATGTTTTTAACTATCATCTTTGTTTTTCCAACATTTATTTTAAACCCAGACACTTGACCATACTGTTTAATTACATCCATCAGAACCTATGCTGATTCCACTGGTTGAGTTAAGGTCACAACCAAATCGTCTGCAAATGCCCGTACCTTATATTCATAATCTCTAACTTTAATTCCCTCTATCTCATCTATATTACGTATTCTATTCAACAAGAGTTCTAAAGTTAATATAAATAATAATGGCGATAAGGGGCATCCCTGCCTAGAACCTTTTTCAATTTTGAAAGTTTCTGTTAAACTGCCATTAACAATTATCTGAGCTGTCTGTTCTTGATATATTGCTTTTATAGATTGCATAAAGCAATTCCCAAATTGCATCCTGCGAATTACTCTCAATAAAAATTGCCAATCCAATCGATCAAAAGCTTTTTCCGCATCTAAAAATATAAGCACCGCAGGGATTTGGTTGTTCCTTTCCAAATATTTGACAATTTGCAGTAGGACTCAATTCAACCATAAAATGTAACTTTTGACACAGAGCTCAGATTTGCAAAAGAAACACATATTCACGTTCCCCATGTTCTGAAAAGCCAAAATCACATTCAATTTTCAAATGGAAGCTTTCCCTGAGGAGTTAGACCAAGCTGTATCTCAGAATTGTCAGTAGGGCTCAATTCAGCCAGAAAAGGTAACTTTTGAGACAGAGCTCAGATTTGCAGAAGAAAAACATATTCATGTTCCCCACAGTCTGAAAAGCCCAAAAACACATTCAATTTGAAAGTACGAGCTTTCCCTAAGGAATTAGACCAAAGCGTATCTCAGAATTGTCAGTAGGGCTCAATTCAGCCAGAAAAGGTAACTTTTGAGACAGAGCTCAGATTTGCAGAAGAAAAACGTATTCATGTTCCCCACAGTCTGAGGGCTCAATTCAGCCAGAAAAGGTAACTTTTGAGACAGAGCTTAGATTTGCAGAAGAAACACATATTCATGATCCCCATGGTCTGAAAAGCGCAAGAACGCATTCAATTTTCAAGTACGAGCTTTCCCTGAGGAGTTAGACCAAAGCGTATCTCAGAATTGGCAGTTGGGCTCAAT